CACCAGTGCCCGCTGGTCGATCAAAGACTGCAGCGTCCGATGCAACAGCAGAATGTCATCCACGTAATGAAAGATACGGACTCCTTGTTCGCGAAGCAAGCCACCACCGCCAGTAGTACCTTGGAAAACACCCTTGGAGAAGTTGTGAGCCTGAAGGGAAGGCAGCAGAACTGGTAATGCTGGCCGCACAGGTAGAATCGTAGAAAACGTTGAAACGACCTCCGAACGGGAACATGAAAGTAGGCATCTTTCAAATCTATAGAAAGCATTCAATCCCCCGGCTGTACCATCTTCAAGATAGTCTGCAGTGATTCCATTTTGAAGTGATCTTTGATTATGAACCTGTTCAAAAAAGTCAGGTCAATCACCGGCCTCCAATCCCCAGTCTTTTTCCGCACGAGAAAAAGAGGCGAATAAACGCCCCAAAAGCGTTCCGTATGTGGAACGGGAAGTATCACGCCCTGAACAATGAGATTTTCTACATAGGGAAGGAGGACTGACCTCCGCACCCCATCCCCGGGAAGTGGAGTGGGCTGAAAAACAGGACCAGGGAGTTTGTGAAAGCCCCAATGATGGCCGCTGGTAACCGTCTCCAAGACCCAGGGATCCTAAATTCTGTCCGCCCAGATCACCCCGAACTTGGCAAGCCTCGCGCCCACCTGGGAGATCTGGACGGGCAAGCCTTCACAAGGACTTGGAAGGGCCCTGAGCCGCAGCTGCAGGCCCTTTCTTGGCCCTTGAAAAGGCCCCAGAAGGACGCCAGGGGCGGCGGAACTCCTTCCCCGGCTTGTAAGCCCGGGCTTCTTTGCACCTGTTAAACGCCTCCTTCCGAAAAAATGGGTTCTTCTGCTTCATGAGCCTCCTGTCTTGTGGAATGAAGCCGGACTTCCCGCCCGTGGCTTGGGCTATCGCAGTGTCCAGCTTATTTCCAAACAGGGATTGACCTTCAAACGGGATTTTACACCACCCCTGCTTAGAGGTGGGATCAGCCACCCTTGGTCTGAGCCACAAAGCTCTCCTGCCAGTGACGGCGGATAACATAATTCTGGCCAAGGACTTGATAACGTCCACCGATGCTTCGGCAAAAAAAGCGGAAGACAGCCTAATATTCTGTAGCATAGACAAGATCTCGGTTTTACTGAGGTCATCTGACACGGCTGATTCCACGCTGTCGACCCATGCCTCCAGAGCCTTGGCGGTAGCCGCCATGGCCACTGCTGGCTTACAGGCACCTCCTGCCATAAGGTAGATCTTTTTAAGATCTAAAGCGGCGCGCCGATCCAACACGTCCTTAAACGTGACGGCATCATCCAGAGGCAGTGTGACATGCCTCGCTAGTCTCATGAGAGCTGCATCCACAACAGGGGATTCCTCCATGTGCTTAAAGTCCTCTTTTTTAAAGGGATATAGCTTGGAGAACCGATTACCGAAAGACGCTTTCCTTTCCACCTGACCCCATTCTTCCTGGATAATATCTTTGATCTCATCCATGAAGGGGAAGGACAACATTTCCTTTCTGACGTGCTTGAAATAACGCCGCTTCTTCTCAGGCTGTTCCACAGCCTCTTCCCAAAGAAGAGCCTGTCGAACGGCTTTGACGAAGGGTTGGACCACAGAAAAGTCGAACCCCTCGAACTGGTCCTCGTCCTCCTCAGAAGAGGAAGAATCCACATGTGACTTGCCAGCAGTAGATAGAGGGGGAAAAAACGGAGGCTTTAGAACCCCTTTAAGCTCAGGTGTGTTTTTGACCTTATTTCTAAATGCACCTGGACTAATGTAATCCATTTCTATGACTGAGTGCACACCTAGGCATCCAGCAGCATCTAGGTACCTTTTTAGTCTAGGGCAGTTTACCCAAAATCGAAATGTCTCCGTTCCCGTTCGGACTAGCCCAGTTTTATGCGGCTAAACGCGTGTAAAAGCATGTAAAACAACTAAGCCCTGGGAAGCATAAAGCTGTTTATACTTACCAGATTACTTCTGTCGGGCTTAAACGCAGCCTGCTAGTGTGCATGAGGCCTTACACATAATAGTGTTTGTAAATATCCAGAGACCTTCTGATCATGTTGTTGTATTAGGTCTCACCAGTAGGAAGTGCTGTAGTTGAAATATGTAACTGCTATTATATGATTGTTAATATAAAGAGAGATCACTGGCAAACAGAGGATTGTTTAACTTACTTACTTTTCTGGTTGTTCTGCTATTATTTTAATTAAAAAAGAACAATGGTATTGTACAACATAGATATGATTTTGTACTCTATGCTATACATTTTTGTATAGAATTGGTTCAAGACTTCAAAAGTATTTTTTTTTATTTCTTTTCTTAGCCAGGTACTTGTAAAATGTTACATATGAATATCATATTTTCCACTCTCTACTAGAAGGTGGTACACTAAAAACAGTACTTTACACTTCATAATACACATATTATTCGGAGCGTAGCAACAACCTGCTAGGTTTCGAATAGTCTGGTGAAATTGAATCCGATAAAGTTTAGCAACATTCACAACAAGCAGCTAAATGAGTCAGACAAGGGACAATGAGGGGAATTTATTAGAAATTGGAGCAGACAGAATCTGGAGCAGTTGCCAATGGCAACCAATCAGCATCCACCTTTCATTTTCAAACATTAACTGAACATACTGAAGAGAGAAGCTGATTGTTTGTTTGCCATAGGCAACTTCTCCAGATTTTGTCTGCTCCAGTTTTGATAAATTCCCCCCAATGTCTTTAGTTTACATGGATTATTGGAAAGTTTGTGGTTCTCTACAAAGAAAGGTCTATGGGACTACACTGTATTAAATGTCTATTATTTGTAAAAGTACTGGAAATGATTATAAAAATAGTTTAATAGGTTTGTTAATATTGTAAAAATAAAATAAATGGAACCAAACACCATTATAGTTTTAATAATTATAAAAAATTATAATATAATTTAAAAATGGTCCAGTAAATGGGAATTCTGGGGGCGCTGCCTGATCCGTACCACAGTCAATAGAGTACCAAGTTTGCACATCACTGAGCTCGGTCGCAGAATCATCGTTTTCGTCACTTTCAGTGTCTAATGACGAATTTGCCAACAAATCGCTATCGCTCAATTCTGCAAGTGATTCTAATTCACTAACGCTGTTTTCTACTTGGTCTAAAACCACTTTTGACCTAAAGGGACGCTTTTTGGATGCCATGGACGTTCTCAAGTTTCCAGGCAGAAAGAACAGTAAAAGTGCAGACAGGGCACTGGACAAAGCTCTAAGGACAAAATTGAAGTGAAATTATTTGATACAGTAATGTAAATCATAGCAGATGACATTCTATTGTGTGTATTCTGTGTATATTGCATGTTTTCACTTTTGAATTTCCCGACGGCCCCACCCCCCGATGTGACGCCTAAAACTAAACTAAAAGTCGGATGCCGGCATCGGCCGGGCGCACACAGCAGAGGACACCGCAGGCTCGTAGGAACAAGGTAAGTGACACTTTTGTGCAATCCCGAGTGTGGCTCGGGGGTACCATTATTGGTACTGAAAATTAACCCCGAGCCACACTCGGGAATACCGCCAGGGGTAACCACCTCCCGGCCGGCCGTTGTAAAGAAACGGCCGGCCGGGAGCTCTCTAGATCTGAGCGGGTGTCTTTAGACGTCCTCTTAGCCACGCCCCCTCGCGCATGGCGCATGCGCGCAGGAGAGTCCCAAAATGTTAAATCAGCCAGCGATGCCTGTTAACATACAAGCGATCCGCCGGCTATAGAGCCGGTGGATCGCTTGTATGGGGTGCCGATCCGTGTCCCCCCACCTCTCGTCGCTCCCTCCCTCCTCAGGGGTTCAGAGGAAGATCAGTACACGATCTACCTCCGGTCCCCTCTCCACTGTCGGAAGTGATGTATATTACATCACTTCCGCATTCTTGTGTCACTCTCCAGCTTGAGAAGCTGATAAAGCAGATCACTGCTTCATCAACTATTTCAGGAGGGTCCCTAGGTGACATTAGGGGTCTTGTATCAGGAGTTTCGGACCCCTGATGTCTCCATAAAGAGGACCTGTCACATCTCTTTGCTATCACATAGGGGTTTTTTATAAGCCGCCTATGTGATAGCAATAAAGTTAAGTGAAAAGAAAAAAAAATGAGTTTCCCCCAAAACAATTTAAGTCACACATAAAAAAGAATCAAACAAACACAATTTTTCTTTTAAGTTCCACCCATACATACACGCATGCAAACATGCAGTGGGTGCGCACACGTGTGAAAATTACGATTGTGCCCATTATGCCGCACATGTTACATATTGCTGCGAACGTCGCAGCGAGAGCAATTATTCTAGGGCCATCAATCACTGATAACACTAAACTGATGAGCGGTAAAAGCTTTTAAAGCGTCGCCTATGGACAATTTTGGGTATGATAGTTTTCTGCGATTTCGCGGGTGCACACAATTTTAAAGCTTGACATGTTTGGTGTCTATTTACCCGACATGACCCCATGTTTATATTTTAACAAAAAATTGGGTAACAATAAATGTTTCCTAACATAATGTAAAACAACCTTTTTTTCCCCCACAATTTTCAGAAATGTTTCCTTAATATACTAAAAAATAAAACCCCCAGTGGTGATTAAATACCACCAAAAGAAAGCTCTATCTGTCCCCCCAAAATTGTATAAAATTCATTTCTGTACAGCTCTGTGTGATGGAATAAATGTCAGTCAAAGTACCGCAGCGCTGAATACTGAAAAATGGCCTGGCCAGGAAGGGGGTCTAAACACCTGGTCTTCAAGTGGTTAAGATCCAAATATTCTAATTGTACAGCAGATTAGTCCTAAAATGCCTAATTTGCTGTTCTAATTAGATTAATTTGATTGTATCCCATTGTTAGCATGCGACTATGGAATGTTTGTTCTGTCTGACTTTCGGTAAAAATTACTATTGATGTCTAATTACTTTAACCATTTTACAATTATTTTACTTTAGATCACAACACTGGATCTCTCCTGCTTCATGAAACCAAAGTCTTCTAACATGAGCTATCATTATTCACTCAAGCATATCATTGTCATGCTCACCATCACACTGCATTCTGCACCACCAATAAGAGCCTTTGGATGTGCCAAGTGTTTTCTAACTTATAAGAACAGAGAATATGCAAACTGCATAGAACAAGGAGTTGTGGATTTAACAAAATCCATTCAGCATCTTCCAAATCAAACATTGTGGTTAAATGTATCACTAAATTATATTACTGTATTAGAACACAAAGTTTTCTCACACTTACCCAAACTTCTAGAACTTCGGCTGAATAGAAATCAAATTAGCACAATCCATTCTGGAGCCTTTTACAATTTATCCTATCTTTATTATCTGGACCTCAGCAATAATTTAATACAGTCATTGCAAAATGTCAGCATAAAAGACTTGACACGCCTACACATCCTTCACCTTAGCAATAATAAGATAAACACAATAGAAAATGTACAGTTTAATCCTTTAAAGGTTTTACAAGAACTTGATCTGTCTTTCAATCAAATTTCAGATTTCAGATCTGTGGCTGAAGGACTGAAACACTTGAACATGCTGTACAATCTGAATATGAGCTCCAATTCTTTAGCTGATTTACGAAGTAACAAAACTCTGTTGGTCCTATCATCACTGAACTTTTTAGATCTAAGCAAGAATTTGATTTCAGTATTAGATCTTAGTGAATTTGATATGCCTAATCTAACAGGCCTCAGTGTGATGAGAAATAATATGTGTTCAATAAATGGAAGTGCCTTCAATAATGTACCTAACTTATCAGATGTTACCTTTGATGAAAACCCTTTAAATTTATCAGTACTTCTTCAAACGGAAATCCCCAACTTGACTGAACTTCACTGGTCAAGCATGAAACCTGCACTTGACGCTGACCTTTCTATTGCTTGCCGGGTTTTTCAGTCTTTTCCCAAGTTAAGGATGATGGATATCAAGCATTCAAAGATCTGTGGTTCAAAACTACACATCATCGGTGGGTGCACTAACCTAACGTCACTTATTCTTTCAACAAGTGCACTTGATCACCTAGTAAGCTCAGAACTTCAGGCTTTCAAGTACCTTGAAGTTTTGTATCTTGACAAGTGTAAACTCAGAATGATTCATAACACTACATGGATTGGTTTGGAAGCCCTTCGTACCTTAATCCTTGAAAGAAATGTTCTATCAAACTTACCAGATTTCTTGTTCAGTCCTTTAATCAATCTTCGGTATTTGGACTTGTCAAAAAATCACTTAACCTACATCAACAAAGAAGCATTTAAAAGTTTACATAAATTAACTCACCTTATTCTGAGAAGCTGCCAAATTACAGGTATTAACCATGACAGTTTTTATCATTTATGGAATCTCAGGTACCTGGATGTGCAAGAGAATATCATATCACTGGTGAAGAATAAGTCTTTTAAAAAACTGCACAGGCTTCAGACACTTTTATTGTCAGGCAACAACATTCACGCAATACAGAAGTTTGGATTAGAAGGACTTAAGTCATTGGAAACTCTTTCTTTATCTAAAAATACCATTTACAGATTAAAAGATAATATTTTTATCTTGATACATTTGAATATAAGCAGAAACCACTGGTCTTTCAACAAAAAAAACTGTACCAGACCATTTGAGATGCTTAAGGTCTTAGAAACTTTGGACATAAGCTACCAGGTTCGTCGTTATGACGACAGTGTCCCAGAAACACTGTTTAAAGGCCTGGGTTCCCTTAAAAAACTTAACATGAGAGGTATTCCTGTCTCTTTTTTCACAAATGTGTAATTTTCCCATATAACAAATTTGACTAATTTGGATTTGTCAAAATCCTTTCAAAAGTCTGATAAACATTCCATCGTCGAGTTTATTCACAAATTTCCCCAATTAAGACATCTTACCCTTGACAACAACAAAATCAAACACCTACCAGAAGATATGTTTGCTCATTTTACAACCTTAGAGAAATTATCATTGAGGAACAACAAACTTAGGAACATTAGTCAGAAACTTTTGACACCTTTGACTAACTTAAGTTATTTTGATGCCTCTATGAATCCTCTTTCCTGTTCCTGTGAAAATTATTGGTTCCAGAATTTGTTACAATTCAACACTGAAGTTCAAGTACCCTTTATACTATCATACAGCTGTTTTGGCCAAGTAGCACTTGACATGAATTTTGTAAACCAGGACCTCAGCTTTTGTGGAACTGATATCTCTGTGTTCTTTTTCTTTGGAAGCTTTAGTTTAACTCTGCTCTTCATGGTGACAAGCCTTGTGATGATGAAGCTGAAGTGGTCCATACATTACTTTTACTACATGGCCAGAGCATGGTGGCAATGGAAACTACAAAAGGAGGACAGAATTTACAAGTATGATGCTTACATTTCATACTGCTCTGATGATGAAGAGTGGGTCATGAAGGAATTATTATTCCATTTGGAATGCCAGGGCAGAAGGAAATATAAAATATGCTTCAAACCTAGAGATTTTATTCCTGGGGTTTACCATATTGACAACATTCAGGATGCCATAAATAATAGTCGTAAAACCTTATGTATAATCAGCAGAAATTACCTTGAAAGCCAGTGGTGCAGAATGGAAATTGAAATGGCTTGTTCTAAAGTCTTCTACCAAAGAGAGGATGTACTGCTTGTTGTATTTTTGGAAAATATTCCAGATTACAGGTACAGTATGCTATTTTATATATAAATGTCAAGACCAAGTTTTGTACCTCCATTAGGTTGTTAAAGAGCTCTGGAAACATAGCAGAGCAATCTCCCCCAACACTCATCAAGGATATGTCAAACCTTACTTAGCATTATGCTAAACACTGTAGACATGTGCATTCGGATTCGGCCGAACCTGCAAATCAACAAAAATCAGTTGATTCGGCAGTTCGTCCGAATAAGAAATAACGAATTTAATCTATGCCCGAATATACTAAAACGATATTTGGGCATACATAAATTTGTTTTCAGAACATGCCGATGGCCATATTGGCAGTCTGCGTGTTCTGCGCATGCCAGCCGCCATCTTGGAGGCGGAGCGTGTGACGTCCCATGACGGTGACATCACACGCTGAACGAGCAGTGGCCAGATCGTTCTGCACATGCGGCTGCCATTTTGGAGTAGATCTTGGTATACACCAAGATGGCGGCACCCACATGTTCGAGTGCCACCATCTTGGTGTATACCAAGATCTACTCCAATATGGCGGCACACATGCACAGAATGGCTGCCGCCCGTACTGCGGTTTCAGTGTGCAGTTTCAGTGTGCAGGCTTATTGCCTCCTAATCCAAAACAACATAAAAATGTGTTTCCTTTGACGAAACAAATGAAAACATTTTTTGTTTTTATTTGTTTAGTCTGGAAACACATTTTTGTTGTTGTGCACATGTCTACTAAACAGCAGTGTCATTCTGTCTTGCTTGTTCTTATCATTTTCCTGTGGAATTATACCAATACCAAGTATCAAAAGCAATGGCAATGCTCCTGGCTTAATTATTCATAGGAATATAGAGAACAAAAGCTGAGAGACTGTTTATGGCCGAGGAAAGGTTAGGAGGGACATTTCATAAAGGTTTCCTGGAAAAATTGGGCAACCAAGCAGGGTATCTAAATCTGCCCTAGTCACTACCAAACAGCTAATATGCTAAGTAAATAGTCAACCTTTAAGGAGAATTGTTGTTAGTTTCATCATATTATTAAGGTAATATTCTCTAACAACCTCTAGGTGGAGGTCTTTGTATAACTATCTGTGGAATTCCTTTAGTTAAAGAACCACAATCCAAAACACAATCCAGCGGAATTGTGAAAGACCTGTAGTTACACAAAAGCTGCAAATGCAATTCAGGTTACCAATATTACTTAGTTGCAAGAAAATGCAATGCTATTCCCTTAATACAGAGGAACAGGAAAAAGCATATTTCCAGTTACAGACTGTTGTGTGGGGGGAGCAAAACAAATAAACTGGATACCATTCATAATGTCAAAATGTGTGCCCTGATTCCTTTCTTAGTGCTTTTCTGAACTGGGAGACCATGTGAAGGAACCCGTTACATAGTGCTACAGCATCAATGCATTCCTGCCCCTGCAGTAGCAGTTTATATAGACATTGTGGCAGTGCATGGCAATGCCATTGTGGTATCTCCATCCCTGTGTCCAGAATCTGAGTGGCCAGCGCATGCTGATGGCACAGGTGTGCACAGCCTTTAAATTAAAGGTGTTGGGAAGGGTTCACGACTCCACCTGGGAGACAGGAAAGCTCCACCCAGGAGACAGAGTGGAGTCCAGTGCAGCAGGGTGCTGTGGATGGGGAAGAACCCCCAGTGTGCCGGTTAGCACATGACTGAGGCTGTCTGGAGGAACAGACAGTGGGCTGAGGCCGGAGCAGCGGTGCTGCAAATGCAAATCCAGGAGGCGGGATGGGCAGGTGCTGCCATGAGATGCTTAAGAACCCCTGCGAGGGTAATTGTTCTGTTTTGTGGACTTTCATTTAATAAAAGTGGGCAAGGAAGCCCTTGAATGAAGATTACAGCTCCTTCACCGTGTTTTGGATGTGGTCAACTGGACCATAAGTCTCCAACATGCCCTGTGACCTGGGGTACCCCTGGAGGTACTGTTGGGCAGGAGACCAAATCCGCCAGTCCAAGCCATGAGGCTAATGTGCGTGCAGTTGTGCATAGCAACGCATGGGAAAGTCCACAGGGGGGGCGTCAAAGATGACTGGACAATGTCAACGCAAAACCAACGCTCTCAAATTAAGTTAAACACAGTGTATGAGAGGGGTGGTAAGACTGACATTGCTGAATTGTGTGCTGGAACTGTGTGTCCTACAGTCAAAGAGACTGACTGTAGGCTTATGTGTGAGATGGGAGTAACGCCAGTAGAGCGGCCCATGGGACATTCTATGAGGGACTTGCCTCTGCTCGGTATACAGGGAAATGGAGAGGCAAGAGTTAAAAATGTCTATGATGTGTTTTCTTCCAATGCAAATGGGGGTTTCAACATTACTACTGTTGAGAAGGATAGTAATGTTGAGGTAACAAGTGGTAAAAATACATGTCGGGATGACAATTCGTTGTTTGGAACCAGGGTGGATTCAACAGAACTATCCTTGGTAATCTCAATGGAGCTCAAGAGCTTGGAGCCAGAGGTTACCCAGGATAATTGTGGTGCCGGTATGATGGGTCACAGTTTAAGTGAAGTGTCAAGTGATGGTGCACAGGTGGTTGATTTAGTACCACCAGGTAACAATGGTAAAATGTCTCTGATCGTACACCTGAGTAATGTGGACAAAAGGTGGAGTTAAATGTGGTAAGGGTGACCAATAGTCGAAATGTGTTAAATCCCCTAGAGACAGTGAGTAAAGCAGCAGAGGTGTCCTTGGAAACCTTTAAGGAAACAGGTGAGCTGGAGACAAAGGTTATCCAGGACAGCTATGGTGCCGCCCTGCTGGCCACCGCTGAAAGTTCAACTAGTAATGGGAATGAGTTAAAATTCAGTGACATTTCTGAAAATATTGCTTTGTTTAATGGAGAGCCCCAGGCTCACAGTGGTGACCATGTGTTTGGGGTATCTACAGAGCTAGAGGCTCATTATTATGAAGAAAATGTTATGTCTAATGATGTCATTGCTGGAATGAATAATGGCATTGATGTTCAGCTGGGTGATGTAGTGCCACCAGCTCAGACTAGTACAAATGTGGTAAAACTGCAGGGTATGCATGTACACAAGGACACCCCATTACCTGGGGTACCCCTGGAGGTACTGTTGGGCAGGAGACCAAATCCGCCAGTCCAAGCCATGAGGCTAATGTGCGTGCAGTTGTGCATAGCAACGCATGGGAAAGTCCACAGGGGGGGCGTCAAAGATGACTGGACAATGTCAACGCAAAACCAACGCTCTCAAATTAAGTTAAACACAGTGTATGAGAGGGGTGGTAAGACTGACATTGCTGAATTGTGTGCTGGAACTGTGTGTCCTACAGTCAAAGAGACTGACTGTAGGCTTATGTGTGAGATGGGAGTAACGCCAGTAGAGCGGCCCATGGGACATTCTATGAGGGACTTGCCTCTGCTCGGTATACAGGGAAATGGAGAGGCAAGAGTTAAAAATGTCTATGATGTGTTTTCTTCCAATGCAAATGGGGGTTTCAACATTACTACTGTTGAGAAGGATAGTAATGTTGAGGTAACAAGTGGTAAAAATACATGTCGGGATGACAATTCGTTGTTTGGAACCAGGGTGGATTCAACAGAACTATCCTTGGTAATCTCAATGGAGCTCAAGAGCTTGGAGCCAGAGGTTACCCAGGATAATTGTGGTGCCGGTATGATGGGTCACAGTTTAAGTGAAGTGTCAAGTGATGGTGCACAGGTGGTTGATTTAGTACCACCAGGTAACAATGGTAAAATGTCTCTGATCGTACACCTGAGTAATGTGGACAAAAGGTGGAGTTAAATGTGGTAAGGGTGACCAATAGTCGAAATGTGTTAAATCCCCTAGAGACAGTGAGTAAAGCAGCAGAGGTGTCCTTGGAAACCTTTAAGGAAACAGGTGAGCTGGAGACAAAGGTTATCCAGGACAGCTATGGTGCCGCCCTGCTGGCCACCGCTGAAAGTTCAACTAGTAATGGGAATGAGTTAAAATTCAGTGACATTTCTGAAAATATTGCTTTGTTTAATGGAGAGCCCCAGGCTCACAGTGGTGACCATGTGTTTGGGGTATCTACAGAGCTAGAGGCTCATTATTATGAAGAAAATGTTATGTCTAATGATGTCATTGCTGGAATGAATAATGGCATTGATGTTCAGCTGGGTGATGTAGTGCCACCAGCTCAGACTAGTACAAATGTGGTAAAACTGCAGGGTATGCATGTACACAAGGACACCCCATCTGTTGTGGTGGCTGAGAAGTTAATGCCTAACACCCAGCCATTGGTGTCTCCTTGGAGGGAGGTATTGGAACAATGGGATACTTTTGATGGGACCTCAGCGAGCGTAGATTGGGCTAGGTTGCTCAAATGTTTATTGCCTCTAGAGGAGATGTATTGTCTGAGACCCCAGAGATAAACAAACATGAGGTATGGGTAAACAAAATGGAAACAAACCTAAAACATGTACTGATGGTAAATTATGGTCCTGTTTTAGACAGTGACAGGACGCACAATATTTCTGCTGTGTCAAAAAGAGGGGCTGCTAATCAGCTTGTAGACGAAGGTGTGGCTGCTGGAGCAGCTGATATCATTCATCAGGTGGATGAGTTGAGTAGAATTGAGGATGCAGCAGAAGTTTTTTCTGAGTCCCAGGACAGGGTTAAAAATGTCTTTGCTGTTCCTAAGGGGGGACAGCCCTTAGTGCAGTTGCCAGTAGTAATGGGGAACTGTGAAGTGGCCAGTGAAGAGGATCGCTCCCAGGGGTGTGGTTCCTCTACAGATACTGTGCTGTCCTACGATGAAACTGATAATGGTAACAGTGGTGAAACATATAATGAAATGAAAAATTATAAGAGTCTGGTTTTCCGTTCAATGTACTACATGTTCATCACACCTGGTGACCACTGCCTAGATTCCATAACTAAAAAGCCAAAAAGCTTCATACCTACAAGTAGTTAGCTAAGTGTGCATGTTGTGGGGATTAGCTCTGTGCACACCAAGGAACAGGATTTAACTCAAGTCCATAATGGGGATAGCAGTGCCATACCCTCTACCGAACCACAATGGCTGACTATTGATATGGTCCAGAAACGGATAGACAAAATTAAGGTGAATAAAGCACCTGGACCAGACGGCTTACACCCACGTGTCCTCAAAGAATTGAGCTGTGTAATTTCAAAGCCATTGTATCTAATTTTTAGAGACTCTCTAACGACTGGCTTGGTACCGATGGATTGGCGCAAAGCCAATGTGGTGCCTATATTTAAAAAGGGATCAAAGTCTTTACCAAGTAATTACAGACCTGTAAGTTTAACTTCAATAGTTGGGAAGATACTTGAAAGTTTGATCAAGGATCACATGCAATTGTTTTTGCTTGAAAATAATATCATAAGCGATAGTCAGCACGGATTCACAAAAGACAGAAGTTGTCAAACAAACCTACTTTCTTTTTATGAGGAAGTGAGTAACAAATTGGACAGAGGAATGCCTGAGGATATAGTATACTTGGACTTTGCAAAAGCGTTTGACACAGTTCCCCACATGCGGCTAATGTATACGTTAAGGTCAGAAGGTATAGAGTATTCAATCTGTAATTGGATAGAAAACTGGCTTCAAGACCGTATTCAGAGAGTGGTGATCAATGATTCATACCTTGAATGGTCTGAGGTTGTTAGTGGTGTTCCCCAAGGTTCAGTGTTGGGCCCGTTACTGTTTAACCTATTTATAAATGACATAGAATTGGGGATTACAAGTACTATTTCTGTGTTTGCAGATGACACTAAGTTATGTAGTGGAATACAGTCCTTACAGGATGTCTCCAACTTAAAAGCAGATCTGAATGCTCTGTGTGATTGGGCAACTATTTGGCAAATGAGGTTCAATGTTGATAAATGTAACGTTATGCACTTGGGCGAGTAAAAACATGCATGTGTCATACACTCTAGGGGGGAGTATGTTTGGGGGAGTCAATGATGGATAAAGATCTGGGTGTTCCGGTAGATCACAGGCTGAATAATAGCATGCAATGTCAAGCCGCAGTTTCTAAAGCAAGCAAAATACTTTCTTGTATTAAAAGGGGTCTAGACTCCAGGAATAGAGACATAATCCTGCCCCTGTACAAAGCATTAGTAAGAACTCATCTGGAATATGCAGTTCAGTTTTGGGCACCAGTTCACAAAAAGGATGTTGTGGAACTGGAGAAAGTGCAGCGAAGGGCGACCAAACTCACGAGGCATGGAGGAGCTCAGCTATGAGGAACGATTAGCTGACCTGAATTTGTTCTCTCTGGAGAAGAGGCTATTAAGGGGAGACATGATCACCAGGTATAAATACATAAATGGTCCATATAAAGAACTTGGTGCCAAATTATTCACGTTAAGGTCACTGCAAAGGACAAGGGGGCACTCTTTGCGTCTGGAGGAAAAGAGGTTTAACCTTTGCATACGGAAAGGATTCTTCACAGTTAGAGCTGTGAAAATGTGGAATAGACTCCCCCAGGAGCTTGTTCTAGCTAGCTCGATTAATTGTTTTAAAAAACATCTAGATGTATTCCTAAATGCACAGAATATTACTGGATATTGAGTTCTTAGAGGTATATTAAGCATCAGAGATTGTTGATCCAGGGAATATCCGATTGCCTTATGGGATCAGGAAGGCATTTTTTCCCCTGTTGGAGCAAATTGAACCATGCTTTATAGGGGGGTTTTTTGCCTTCCTCTGGATCAACATTGGGTAATTGTGGGCATAGTGTTTAGGCTTTTCTTCTTTTCTTCTTTTTTTACTTTGTATCTCTATAGGTTGGAGTCGATGGACTTGTGTCTTTTTTTCAACCTGACTAACTATAGTACTTACTACTTAAAAAAGTATTATAGTTTAAAAGATTAACAGTATTTACAGACATACCTGGACCCCACCTGGATAAAGAGGCAAAGCCAGCCTGTAATGTCACTTTGGGCACTGGATAACTTAGGCAGGTTGTATAACACAATGTGTTAGACACAGGTTGCTATACAGGTGCAGAGCTGGGATCCATCTGCCAGTGGAATCATGTCCCTAAATAAGGGGAACTGTAGGCAAATTTGCATTTGCTTGCAGGCGCACACAAGCGTATGCATTTAGGAATGTGTGCAGGAATAAGCATACGGATGTTCCCTGGACTGCCCTTAATCACCCCCTCTTCTCTATCCCTCTACTTCCTCAGTCTTTAATATCTCCTTTCTTTTTTGTCCCTGGACAATCGCTCTCTCCGTTCGTTCATTCAGCTATTTTCCTGCTTATCTGTGACCTGACCTGCTTTTGTGTTACCTGTGTTTGACCCGGCTTGCCAGAGCACAGGGGCCAGGAATATGTGATAAACATATGAGTGCAGAGGTCATGGACACAAAACTCACAAATTTCAATGGAGGGTTAGGAGAGTGTAATGCACAGGGTGCAGGGATGTGTAACACACAGACGTCAGGGGTACCTATTGCACAGAGTGTAGGGGTCAGGGCCATGTAACACACAGAGTGCAGAGACCAGGAATGGGTG